TGCAGATGAAAACACTCCATACCTTTTGGGAAAGAAATTATTTTATGATAAACAGTAATGAATTTATAGTAAGGGATAACTTTTTGAGCAGTTTCTCATTTCATGAGGAGAATCTCATGACCAAAACCATGAGAATGGCTGAGTTCTTCTTGCCCCTCTCGTCTTGGTGCCCTAAAGATACTCCTTCACGCTCTTCATCCAAAATGAAGCAAAAGAAACAAACGGTGCACTCTTGGTTTGGACGTCCCTCTGAGTCTATCATATGTAGTTCTCCTTTCTAGAAGGGCAGAAGGGGAAAGGAGGGAACATTAAGTTATATTAAAGCATTCCATTTAAAAGAACACATGCCTCTGATGTGGTATGCTTCTATGTTTGTGATGTTACTTCAGTTTCTACATAGAACAATTAATGCATTCCTTGGGATGGCTCTGGGGTCTGTTCGGTAGTGACCAAATGACCAGTTGATGGTTCCTTCAGCACCCCAGCACCAGGGCATTAACACTGGCCCAGCTCTTTCTATGGTGCCACTACCAGCTCATTCTTTTGACGCTGCTGGCCATAGCGAAACTCTCCCCAGCCATCTGCCCTGGCTGCATTGCTCACAGTTTATGAACATTACCATAGACTTTCAACGGTCCCCACATAGACTGAGGTTGTGGCTGTGTTGAAGATTTCTATCGTTGGTTGTAGATGTGTTTTCTCCTAGCTATGGAAGAATAATTTATTTTCTAAAATTCAATATCTAATCAATCATGGAATCTAAAAATGTTCCCTCTCTGCAACTGTTGAGTATTTCCCTTCAGGATTTTTTTTTTTTTTTAGTTGTGGTACACCTGTATTGGCGAACTCAGGACACTTGATGTCTAGCCCTGTTTTTGTCATTGGCTTGCTGAATGAGCTTGTCTAGGTCACTTTTCTTCCATATCCCTGTTTCCTCATCTGTAAATAGGACTAATAATGTCTGTCTGTTTTAAGGATCACAACCTACCCCCTCACCACCAATGCTACCACATACACAGTTGTGACTTTAAGTGGAGAGGCAGCAGAATACAGTAGACAGAGTGCTGGGAATCACATCAGTGAGGAGTCATTTGCTACAGTGGTGAAGAGTAAGAGTAGATTTCCCTTTACATACATATACAAACACACACACACACACACACACACACACACGCATGGATTCTGAAGGAGAAGCATAGCAGCCATGGTAGTGGCTATGGCTGCCCCCTCATTGCCACACACTCTAAGGAAAAAAAAAACAATAACTCAAACCTACCAGAATGAGGGCAGATTGACAATGAATGAGCCTGCCCAGTGAAAGAGAAGGGAGGTGTGGATGACATGTCAGATGCCACACCTGAGGATTAGACTCAGGAAACTCCAATGGCTACCAGTCAGGATCAAATACAAAATTCTTTGCTTGATATCTAAAGGTATTCATAACTCAGCCCCTCCCTGATTTTCCAGTCTCATTATACCTTACTCCCCACCCCATACTCTTTGGTACTGCCCTCTGGCTATTCCACAAACAAGATGTTTAGGGACAGCTACGGGGCACAGTGGATAGAGCACAGGCCCTGAAGTCAGGAGGACCAGAGTTCAAATCCAGCCTCAGACCAAACACTTGACACTTACTAGCTGTTTGACTCTAGGCGAGTCACTTAACCCCAATTGACCAAAAAAAAAAAAAAAAACAAAATCAAAAACAACAACAATAACAAAAAAACAAAGCACAAACAAGATGTTTAGTCTCTCAGCTTTGGGCATCCTCTCTGCCTGGAATGCCCCTCCTGTGCTCTGGCTGCTGACCTCCCTGGCTTCCTTTAAGTGTCATCTACAGGAAACCTTCCCCAACCCCTCTTAATTTTAGTACCTTTCCTCTGTTAATTCAGTCCAATATATCTTGGATATAGCTTGTCTGGACACATCTGTTTGCTTGTTGTCTCACCCATTAGATTATGAGCTCCCTGAGGGTAGGGGCTATTTTCTGACATTGTTTTGTATCCCCAGGGCTTAGCCCAGGGGCATACCATAGGCACTTAATAAATGTTTATTGACTGATAAACCTGCTCCAGAAAACTCATTGAAGAAATGTCAGGAGCAGCTAGGTGGTGCAGTGGATAGAGCACCGGCCCTGGATTCAGGAGGACCTGAGTTCAAATCTGGCCTCAGACACATAACACTTACTAGCTGTGTGACCTTGGGCAAGTCACTTAATCCCACTGCCTAGCCAAAAAAGAAAAAAAAAAAAAGAAATGTCATATAATCTCTGTTTAAATGTAATCTATTATAGAGGAATGATTTTGCCTAGATTACATTTAAACACAGGTTATATGGCATTTCTTCAATGGATTTTCTGGAATGTTTATTAAGTACCTTCTCATAAAATTGTTTAGTGCCTCATGCTATTGATGTGTCTCTGTGTGTGTGTGTGTGCATGCACGCACACATACATGCCACAGTCCTTAGTGGAGGAAATGTGGCACAGTGGAAAGAGCTCTGGAGTCAGAGGATATGGGTTCAAGTCCTGTGAGACCTTGGTTTCTTACCTGTAAGGTAAGGGAATAAGCATTTATTAAGTACCTATTATTTACTAGGCAGTGTGCTAAGCATGTTACAAATATTATTTCACTTGGTCCTATAAAATCAAGAGATTTACTGAATGGTCTGTGAAACCCCTCTAGGTGTAAATCTATGGCCTGATGGTCTGTGAGCATAACCTTATGATAAAAATGACTACCTACTGTGAGATCTTAGAGCCCCCCTTTCTTGAATCAGTAATACGAATTTGCCAGCCACGATAATCTGTAATAAAATGCTACATTATTCTGGAGTAGCATGCATGTTTAACCACCAGGGATGGCTGCTTGCCAAGTGCCTGACCATATTTGATGATGAGGTTCCAAGTGCCGGGATTGCACACCCATCCCATTGGTTATGTACTTTCTCCAGTGCTACAGGTCATTCAAAGGATGATGCCAAGCTCTCTAAGGCTTCCAGAGAACCAGCTTCCCTTTTGTGGGTGGCAGCATTCATCTCATCATTTTAGAGGTGACAGCCACAAAGGGTGGATGTAGCCCACCCGGGTTTCTCACAGTCCTAGCAGCAGCTTGTGGGGAAAATATACCAATGTCCTGGTTCCTTTACCCCATTTCTCTCTGTGTTTCCTTCCCCAAGCCATATCCTCATATCCTATGTTACTTCCCATATTAGAATATCCAGTTCCCCTGCCCACTCTTTAGAACTTTCAATATTCTCCTGGCTGTTGAAGCCTTAAGAAATGGGCTAACCTGAGGCCTGGGGCTAGCCTTTCATCCCCTCTCCTCCTTTGCCTCCAGTAGAATAGAGTGAGGAGGGAGTTATTCATGTTAACAAATCTATTCACATACTAGTGAGTATTATGAAAATTCTATAGAAGGAAAAGAGGGTCACTGAATTTTTTTAAATACCCAGAACAAAAGATAAGGAAGGCCAGAATGAATCACAGACAAGCCAGGAATTTTACATTTTGAAAATTACATGTTAAGTTCAAATATTTATTTAAAGGAAAATCATTCTGTCATAATGGACACATAGTGTACAGTTTTACGTAAAATAATCTTTTTCTGTTCTAATATAATGATAATAGTAATAAAATGTGTATAGCACCTACCTTCTAGGAACTATGCTAAGCTCTTTACAAATAATATTTCATTTGATTTTCACAATAGTTGTGTAATGTAGGTACTATTATTATTCCTATGATATGTATTTGAAAATACTCATTTTATTTGGTGTTTGTTAAGTTCAGAAGGTATATAGATATAAATATACATATACATACACATACATATGTGGGTATGTATATATGTGTGTATATGTATCCTAAGTGCCTTCATATACTTCATTATTGTTAAAATGTACAAGTTTGACAATCCTTTAGTAATTCTCCTGTTGCCTAGAGATAAAATACAAACTTCTCAACCCAGAGCAGGCCTGCACAACCTACGACCTGCCAAAGCATGTTTTCCTCTACATTTTTCATTAGCTGCCCAAAATTCTTTGGCAAGTGGCAGGTTGTTCAGGCCAGACCTAGAGTTTAAAGCCTTCCACACCCTGGATCCCACCTGCCTTTCTAGCTTTACTTTATCCTACTCAGGTCCACACTTTCTGTGTTCCAGTCAGACATCTACTAGCTACTCTCTTGGACTCATCCTATTTGTTATTTCCCACCTCCATGCAGTCATAGAGGGCCAAGATCACTGTCACCTCTGCTCATTGAAATCCTCTTCTTCCTTCACAGCTTAGTGCAGGAGTGCCCCCCTCTATGAAACCTTCCTTGCTGTCTTCAGCTGGAAATGGTCTCTCCCCTCTCAGATTTCCCTAGAGCTTTTTGTACATATATGTCATTTGACCCTATCATGTTCTACCTTCTCTTCTACCTCTCTGACTGCACACTGCATTCTTCCTCGTATAATTTCTTGAGAGCAGGGAATATGTTGTTATTTAACTTTATATCTCTAGTATCTACTACTTTGCATATAAGGTTAGGGACTAGACTAGACCTTGATGTCATTTGTTAGAGAGCTCTCAGGTGAGGAAACTCCCTCTACCAATATGGATGAGCTCCTTTTCAATTTTGCAGTCTTAGAGGAGCTGCCTAGAGCTGAGTTGTCAATCACGCTCCAGGCAACATACAGCCCACAACACTCCAAATTATAGCCTGAACTAGATTAAAATTTAATTGGGGAATATGTAACAGAAATGAATAAAAATACAGTATAACATAGATAATGTTAATTTGTGCTTTTCTGAGTCAGTAGGTAGTCTGCGTGTATCTGTTTCCATTTGAGTTTGACACCTATGACTTAAAGCACCCACTGTATCATGTCAGCCTTCAAAATCCACTGCCATACTGTCTCTCTTGTTCCTTGAACATAGGAAGCATTTAATAAATTTTTAATGGAGTTGAATTGACCATTGGCCTACGGTAACCATATTGTTGTTTTGTTTTGTTTTAGGATGGGCGCTTGCGGATGAATGACCAGCTGATTGCAGTGAATGGCGAATCTCTTCTGGGCAAGTCCAACCATGAAGCTATGGAGACTCTTAGAAGATCCATGTCTATGGAAGGGAACATCCGAGGGATGATCCAGCTAGTGATTCTGAGACGAATGGACAGACAGATAGAGGTGATTAAAGAACACATCTTTTGGGAGAAACTGACCGAAAATGGAAAGCAGAATTACATCAAAACTTGTGAGGGATGATGATAGAGTAGGGGAAAAATTGGATTTATAGTCTCAAAATGTGTTTTTGAACCCTAATTCTACCACTTATTAACTCTGTGACTTTGGGCAAGTGGCTACACTTCTGTTTACCCCATTTTCTTCATTTAATAATAGAGTTAGACAATTGTATGACCCTTTTAATCCCTAAGGTCCTATGATTCCATTGTAAGAACTGAGGGCAGAACTCTATTTGTCTAAACTTTATGAATATATATATATGTATTATGTACATATACATGGATGTATATATGTATGTATGTATGTATGTATATATGCATATACTCTCCTGATTTTCTACTGCAATAGGAGAGGAGGAGAAATGAATATGGCTATGTGTTTGCCATTAAAACTATCAAGGTTAATCATTTACATAACAGAATAATAGAGTTAATCTAGTCAAATCTTCTCATTTTATGAATTAAGATACTGGAACTCAAGAAACTTACATAAGATTACACAGCTTATTAGTTTCAAAGCGAGGCCTCCTGACTCCCAAGTCTATGTGTTTTTCACCCATTTTTACCTTTCAGCCACTTAAATGATGAAATGCAAAATACGAAAGGCTGTATTTGTTTTCATTTTATAAATAATTTCTGAAGTTGAATACTAGTTAACAAACATTTTCATGTTTTATAATTGATTTACCAACATTCCCTTTACATGACTAACCTATATAAATTTATCTGTACCAAACATAATGTAAAAATGATACACCACATCACAGAAATCTATATAGACCTGCAACAAATTCACATAACTTCTACCCTTTAAGTTTTTGTGAGGATCGAATTGGGTTATGTGAACCTGAATTAGCAAATTTAAATCTTGCTTCTCAAGGTTTGTTGCTTGGGACTTAATTACACGTGTTGTTACAGAAACAAAAAAAAAAAATTCCTGGAATATTTTATCGCATAAATTTATCTGCTTTTGTAGCTTTCTTCTTAATATTAGGTACATTTCCACTCAAATATGGTTAGGCATAAAATATTCATAAACCTTAGATACAACTGAACTTGTAAAGAAAAGGGAAAACAAGGGGAAATTAGGTATTAAGAAGAGTTAAGGAGAAAAATCAGCATTTTAAAGTTTTGCTTAGAAGGAAATTCTCAAAGGGCAGGAGATGCTTCTGTAATACAATAGGTACATTTAACATAAACTAGGATAAAGTAGAACAAGTGCTCTAATTGAAAAGAATTGAATATTCTTCCTTGACATTCTCCACTTTAAAAATAGTGAAAGTGTGAGACCCCAAGTTTCATTTAAGGCATACTTCATCAAAGGAGTAAGACGGGGCAAAGAAAGTAGTAATAGGCTATACAACTTGTTTCATTAAATTAGAATCTCCTGAAAAGAAACTATACTTGCTCTGTGTTTCAGTATAATAATTATATAGTCCTTTCTGGATTGCAAGAGTTGCTTTATTCAAGTTCAGTATTTCTCCTTATTATGGAATACAGTGTCCTTATTTTCTGTGAAGTGTCAAAGTGCATAGGCCATGGCACAAAAGCAGTTGCCCCTCTGTCCTTTCTAACCCACCTCCATGTCTCTCTCCACATTGTTCTCTAACAGTGGATCAGTATTAAGCATTTTGGCCCAAATTTGCTGTTTGTCTTATCTTTTGTGGCAAATGTTTTCATTACAGGTGTCACACTCTTGGGTGGGTTGAGAGGGAGCTCAGGAAAAGAAAGTACTTAACACTTAGCTCATGACCCATATTGGGAAATCACATCTCAGAACAGATCACCTGGAGACCAATCAGAGAAGAAGAAGTGGCAAGAGAAGGAAAAAGCAGATTTTTATGAATTATTTTTCCAAGATGTGTTTTTAGACTTGCTAATTTTTTTTGTACTTTCCTTAGGGAATAAACAGACAGCTTGCTCTCTGCTATTAGGAATCAGTGTGGCCTCAGTGCAGATTAAAGAGGATTTTTTTAGATCAATATGCCAGCCTCATGTACATCTTGTGTTCATTAATTTTTTTTATATCCAATATTTTATCTCCCAAATCTACAACACTCTTTCATGTCAAGGCAAGCTTAGAGCCTCCATGGTGGTCTTTGTATAGTATTCTTCTGTTGGGCCAGCCATTATGCTTAGGTTTGGTTTAAAAATATATGTATATATTTACAACACCAAAAAGGGGTCTCAATGCTCCTTGTGTGTTTAGGGAAATCAATTAGTTAGATTTGGCATGAATACCAAAACGGTAATTGAACATTTTGTTCATATAAAAAATTGAAGAAGCTACTTATGAAAAGTCAAAATACAGAGTTGTTGGGATGTCCCCCCCCCACATTACCCAGATGTACAAGACATGTAAACAGTTCTGATGAGCGCCTCATGAAGAATACATAATGAACTCTTGATTGAATCAAAATCATTTTGAACAGAAATATTTTTTTCCAAGGATAAGCTTGAGGTTCAATTGTAATTCCATTTGAGGCTGGAGACTTGGTATAAAAAAAATGGGTTATGACCTGTTTTATTTTTTCCCCCTTCCCCAAAACCCTTCCCTCCCTGCTGCGACAGCCCAGCTTGGTAGAAAGTAGAATATGTTTAAAAATCCATTATTTTTTTTATTGGTCAGGACACTAATGGAGGCCTCCATGACAGCTCTATTTTACAGGCTGAATACTTTAATTAGGCTGGTTACTGATCAGTTGTTGGGATATCGATTGTGTCATTTATCAAAGAGCTGGGAAAGCAGGGTTTTTTTTCCCCCTCTTGTTGTTCTGTTTGCTGTTAATTCAGAGCACAGGGCTATGCACGGCAAATCCTGCCTCTCCCACTGGGGATCCAGCTTTCATTTAGGGGCAGCTTGTCTGCTGGGTAAGCCAACATACAGAGCCCGTCTTTCGATGCCTACAATATGTGGTCAATGTTGACAAAAACCTAAAAAAGATTGTCCTTCACTGAAAGCATCACTTAATATTATTTTTTTTAACTGCACACATGATTTCATTTGTGTCAGTAGCTCCAAATAAGACAACTGCTTGTACCAATGCAGAGCAGCATCAGCTCTGCAGAAATTCTAGTCCTAGAGAATTCCCTGGGTCACTGAAAGATTAAGTGATTTGCACAGTCATTGCCACTATGCATCAGAGGTAGGTCTTGAATTCAGAACTTCCTTACTCTGACAGCAGTTCTCTCTTCTCTCTGCCATAACTGTCTCTTATGCTTATTTTAATTAATGAGAGACAACATAGGAGAGTGGATAGAAAACTAGACAGGAGTCAGAAAAACCTGGCTTCATGAACTGCCTCTGACAGGGGCACATAGTTGTAACTTAGCACAATGTCTGGCACATAGTAGGTGTTTAATAAATGTTGATTGATTGATGGACACATATTGGCAATGTGACCACGGGCGAGTGACAGGATCACAGATTTTTGATCTGAGAGGAAACTTGGGTCCCCTGAAGTCTAACCCTCTCTTTTTTATTTCAAAAAACTAAAGCCCAAATAGGTAAGTTGCCCAAGATGACAAAGGTAATAAATGGCTGACTCAGGATTCAGTCTTACAGCGAACAACCTTTTATTAAGCTCCTACTGCATGCCAACACTATACTAAGCACAGGGATGCAAAGAAAGGCAAGGCTTCCTCAAGCTCACCTTCTAACAGGGGAGACAATAGGCAAATATCTGTGTACATACAAGATATATGAAGTGTAAATAGAAAATATTCTCAGAGGCAAAGAGATTCAAACCTAGATCCTCCACTGTGCTCCGCATCCTAAATCACATCATCTTTCAGTGCCTTCAGGTTACTAAGACTATAAGTTGCAGATGAGTTACCATCTGCATCAATGGAGAGAGTTTCTACACCAGGGAGCTCCCCCACACTGATGAAATAACAAAGACAAAAAAAATATAACTAGCAGAGAACTAATAAAGAAGGAAAAAAAGAGTAAGTCAAGTGTATTGTTTGAGACCAAATGCTATTTACAGAATCAAAGTGACTCCGGGCTCTGATTTGCGTTTCTCTGGATGGCATCATTCTTCTCTCAGTAATGATCAAGGGATCAGTAGCAAGATGGCTTCCAAATTATTTTCTTCCTTGAAATGTATCAAAGAGACAAATAGCATAAGCAAGAAGAAAGCACAATTCTCAAAGCCTCAGTCCTTAAAAAAAAATTGAACTGGAACACTTTATAACCTACAACATCCAATTACTGAGCACCTGTGGAATATTAACCACCAACATACCATTCAGTCTACTCTAAACCTGAGTAAAACATGCATTTGTTTGCAGAACGTCAGAATTAACTTAGGAGGTAGGATGTGGCAAGGAAAGATTTCCCAGAAGAGAAGCAAGCAGCCTGGAGGCCTGGCAGCAGGTTGTTTTCACACCCAGCCGGAAGACCAATCTTTTGCAATGGGATGTACTTGTGGCTCTTGAGTCCCAAAGATATTCTAGTTTGAGCTTGTCCTAGAGCATATGCACTTGGTCTCCGAGCACGAGGGGTACCAGCTGGCTGGCAGAGAAACACCCTTGGCATTCACTGTGTCTTGTGTTGACACTGCCACAAGCTGTACTCCCAGATGGAGTAAAAGATGAAAAAAGCCAGTTGTGAGTGGAGGAAGGTGGGGGTAGGGGGGAGAAGGAATAATAAAATTAATCCTCTTTCTGTGTTAGAATCTCAAAACCCTGTGCCCCACACAACCATAAGGGTTCTTTGTGGCACAGGCAATGAGGGGGTTGTTGGGAAAACATTAAAAAAAAAAAGATTTCCACCGCTGAGAAATAATAATGCAAAATAAACACTCCATAATCTTTTCCTTGATTGAGTTTGATTTAAGGGTGGTGATGACCCTGCTTGAGCTTTTCTATGATTGATTAACTAGGTATATATCAAGGGAAATCACAATTTCTTCCTTCTCCTTTCCGTAGGAGCGTACTGACTATGGGCTCTTTCCCAAGCCCTCTCTTGAGAGCGGTCAACATTTTGTTACCACCTCCAGGCGCCATGAGCCCAGCCCACATCCATTCCTCACATACAGCCCACAGGAGAGACAAAAAGGTATGGTTCTTTTGTATTCTCCTTAGCGCCAAGGGAAGTGAAGAAGGAGAGGACTTTTTTTTGTTTTAAATTTTTTAGCTTAAAAAAAAAAACAGTTAATTAGACTAAGTGCAGACTGTCACTCTGAGTCATGAACATTCAGAGATGGGTGGGAGAGCTGACTCAGAAGTTGTGAATTAGATTCCTGGCAACGATGCCAGTTTAAGTAACAGTTTCTAGCTCGCTGCCCCAAACACGGAAGGTTAGATATTAAACAAACTATGACTTGAAAAATCAAAGCCATCAGCGTTGGGTTTCCAAAGACCTTTTTAATGTTGACAATTATCAAATATGACTAACTATCAAACTTCAAAGATTTATGGCCCAGATAGTAGTGAACCATAAAATGTTAGCAACATGTTTCAGAGATGTCTGATAGACTGTAGGATGAGCATGCTAAATACAATTAGCTGAGGACATTTCATGAGGATGAAATGTGTTTGTTATTTCAGCAATATGATGGTGTAGTAACTTTTGCTATTATATATTATATATACATATATGTTTGTATATGTATATTATGCATATATATTTTTCTAACCATGCAATTTCTAGAAAGCTATGGAGGTCCATGGTTATACTATATACCAGAATCTAGGCTTTTTTTTACCTTGTTCTTCAACACCGTCATATTGTAATATTAGGAAAAATTATTGTTTTTTGCTAAATGTAAACAGTGATTATTAGTGATCCTGAGATAATTCCCATCAGAATGAACTTGAACATATGGGACTCTTCTGGAATTGCTCCACAGTGAGACCCCATTTGCTCTAGCAGGAGTTCACAGATCTACCCTTCTTACACCAGAAACTTCTTCTGAGATAAATTTCACTCCAACAGAATATAAACATAACCAAATGTCTCAACAGTGAAAAGATGGCTAAAGATGTTTCAACCTATCTGTCACAGCATCATTCTAAGGATGAATGGATGTCAGTTTAAACATTGTATTGTCACTGTCCTTGATCTCTAAGTACAATGCATTGAAATTAAGCAATTATAATGCTCAGACTTCAGTCAGAAGAATAGTGAAATATATTTAATTTCTTCCTGCATAAAGGTAGGGAACTGTGGGAGCAGAATGTTGTATATGTCATCATCAATTATTATTTTGCTCCTTGATTTTTCTCAACTGTTTTTCTTTTTTGCAAGGGAGAATTTGGGGATAGGGAATACATTGGGAAATTGCTGGGTATAAAAAACAAAAGATATCAATAACACTTTTTAAAAAGAAATTATACAAATTAGTTGCATGGCTTTCCAAGTACAGTTGACAGTTCTATTTCTAATAAAATGAGATAATATTTTTAAAGCACTTTGCAAACCTTAAAGCACTAGATAAATGCAGTTATGATTATGATTATTATTATTTTGCAATGGAGTTTTAAGTGACTTGACACAACTTCCTGTTCATTATCTGAAATTTGAACTTATAATTGCTTTACAGTATTCTTTAAAGTGCATTTTTGTCCTTGATTGGAATGTTACATTACTACAGTAGGTATAATATAGAACAATCTGTTGTTATTTCTTTTTTCAAGAATGAAACAGCTATACCACTGCTAGGTGTACATCCCAAAGACATTCAAAAAAAGGAAAAAGATTTATATGTACTAAAATATGTATAGCAGCTCTTTTTGTGGTGGCTAAGAATTAGAAATCAAAGGGATGCCCATCAATTGGGGAATGGCGAAGCAAGCTGTGGTATATGATTGTAATGGAATATTATTGTGCTATAAGGAATGACAAACAGAATGATTTCAGAAAAACCTGGAAAGACTTATATGAACTGATGCATAGGGAAGTGAACAGAAACAGGAGAACATTGTACACAGTAACAGGAACATTGTACAATGATCAACTGTTATGATTTAGCTGTTCTCAGCAAAACAATGATACAAGACAATCCCAAAGGACTAATGATGAGTAAAAATTTCCAGTGAAAGAACTGATGTTGACTGAACATAGACTGAAGCATGCTATTTTTCACTTCCTTTCTTTCATTTTTTTTCTTTTGTCTTCTTGTACAAAATGACTAATTTGGAAAAGTTTTACATAATTGCATGTGTAAAACCTATATTTGATTGCTTACCAAGGGGGAAGGAAGGGAGGGATGGAATTTGGAACTCAAAACTTTAAATAAAAGTGTTTAATTTTTTTTTAAAAAAAGAATGAAACAATTGCTTCTCAGCAACTGAGTCCAATATTCATTTAAAATCATTATAATCGGGGGCAGCTAAGTGGCACAGTGGATAGAGCACCAGCCTTGAAGTCAGGAGGACCTGATGTCAAATCCAGCCTCAGACCAAACACTTGACACTTAACTAGCTGTGTGACTCTGGGCAAGTCACTTAACCCCAATTGCCCAAAAAAAGAAATTATATTATAATTAATATTGTAGCATATGGTAATTTATAGTCTTAGGATATCATGTACAAATTACAGTTGTCAGATGTATTAGTTGAAATTTTCTTGCTTTTTATGTAGACTTGCTAGCTTATTTTTAAAGTGATTGTAAAACATTTTATAAAACATGCTAACAAAATATTGTAAAAAATGCATAGGGATAAGAATGAGAATATCACTTTAATTGCTTTACTTTGGAAATCAGTTACCTCTCCTAACTGCCAGACTGCTACAGAATCCCAACATCCCACCACAAATGGCCCAATGAAAGCAAGACAGGCAAATTTGACTCACCAGTGCTAAATTTTTTAAAAAGAATCTCCTTTAGAAAAATAACACTAGCTTGAAAAAATGTAATGTCTAAGGGTGGGGATTGGGATGGGGGGAGGGAGCTGTTACAGCCAAAACATTACATTTTTTTGCTTTCCTGTGTATATTTAAAAAAAAAATCCAGAGTTGATGTGCTGTGTTCCATCTATTTTTGCAATAATAGTACTTACCACCCACAGATCTTCAGTTTTTTTTTTTCCCTCTGCCAAGCTGTTACACAGGGAAAAAAGAAAACGTTTTTAGAATTACCATTTGTAGAAATAATAGTGCCAGAAAATTCATTTTTATGTTGGAGTGCTGGTAATGAACATTATCCGCACGGGAGGAGTTTTTGTGCCTAGAGATGATGAAGGGGCACCCAAGAAGTGTGCTTTCATTTCATATTTTAAGTATTAGAGTGATCTCTGCTCCCTGCAGCTAAGCAACCTGTATGCTGGCAGCCAAGGATTACCAGTGTTACTCCTCACCCAGTTCTGTTCTTCCTGAGCAGTACCGTTTCTCTAGTCCTATGTTTCTTTCTACCTTCTCCTCTTTAAAAATTTACCAGTTCTAGTCCCTGTTCCACAGATCTCTGCTTCTCACTTAGGAAAAGCAGTGTGTTGTACTGGGAAAAGCACAGGACTTGGATTGAGGAGAAACATTTAGTAATAAGCCTCTGGCATTTACTTTGTGATCTTGAATGAGTCAGTATCCTCATCTGTGAAATGGAGATAATAAACCTGTAGTATTTATCTCTTAGGCTTGTTAACAGGGTCAAATGAATGTCAAATGTAAAATTTTTCAGTTATCATTACTAGCTATCATTATAGGAAAGATACTTATAAAGGAATTCATGCTAAAGAATTAATGGTTTAAAAATAGTTTGATGGGTTAACCCTCAGAGGGTATAAAGGAATACCTCCCTCCAGTGGATTCCAAATTAATTGTGTCATAACCCTTAGCTTCCTTGTAGGGGAAAAAATTGTCAGTCATAAAAGAGCTTCAGAGATGCTAAATTATAGCCTAGACATGCCAGAATATATGAACTGAGTGGAGTAAAGCAGAGATGGAATAGAAAGGGAGATGTTTAGTGCAAGTGGGATTAAAAAGCAGTCACAGTCATTGAATTTGGCTTAAGGAGGGAATAACATACACACTCAATTGGGTATGGGAAGCTATCTTACCCTACAGGAAAATAGGGGGGAAGGAGATAAAGGGGGGGAGGGATGATAGAGGGGAGGGCAGATTGGGGGAGGGCATAATCAGAAGCAAACACTTCTGAGGAGGGACAGGGTCAAAAGAGAGAATAGAATAAACGGGGTTGGGGGCGGTATAGGATGAAGGGAAATAATAGTTAGTTTTCCACAACATGATTACTATGGAAATGTTTTGCATAACTACACAAGTATAACCTGTATTGAGTTGCTTGCCTTCTCAATGGGGGTAGGTGGGGATGGAGGAAGGGAGAGAATTTGGAATCCAAAGTTTTAAAAACAAAAACTGGGAAATGAGATATACAGGCAATGGGGTATAGGAATCTGTCCTGCCCTACAGGAAAATAGAAGAGGAAGGGGATAAGAGAAGGGGGGGGATAGAACAGAGGGCAGATTAGAGGAAAGGGTATTCAGAATGCATGCTGTCTTGGAGTGGGGGGAGGGACAAGAAGAGGAAAAAATTTGGAACTCAAAATGTTGTGGAAGTGAATATTGAAAACTAAAAATAAATAAATTAATGAATCTTAAAAAAAAAACCAGTCACAGAAGAGACCTTAGAACAGGTTCAGAGAAGGGGAGAAGTAACTTGTCCCAGGCTACACAATCAATTAGTCAATTAAATAACAGAAGTAGGAACTCTAGCTCATGTCTCTTGTGTTTTAGGATAATTTGTTCTAGATTGGAGGAGCTATAGAGAAAGGCAGAAAGAAGGACACCAGCTAACCAAAAGCAAGGAAATGGCCAGGTAGCTGATCAGCCTGGAGGAGAAGCAAATTTACTTGTTAAGCAGAGTCAAACTATAGTCAATAAGAGTTGTCAGTCTAGTGCATCCTACTCAAAAGTAACTCACTAAGTTTGTGAAGCAGACAAACTGAGATGGAGGTGATGTATAGAGAAAAGCAAAGACTGTGGACCCAAGGATATGCTACTTATAGGAAAAGCTGCCTTGATCTAAACGGATAACCCTCGGAGAGCTTTCCTATTTGGTGTGCTCAGGGCCAATTCAGAAATATAAATATTTTATTAGACCACCCTAACCCAAAGGAATAGATGTAAGAGAGAAATTTTAAATAGCAGAACTGCCTAGTAGGGCTCAGATTTTTGGAGAATGGGGACTTCTAAGCACCACTTAAGTTACCTATTCATAAAACATGGCATGTGATTCCTCCATGATGACTCTGCTATAAATACAACCAGTTCCAAAGGGGAGTGGAATGGGAGGTGGGGTATAAGGTTGGGGTGAAGAACAAGAAATACCCCTACTACTGTCTTCATAACAGAAGACAGAGTGCTTCTGGCCATCCTTGACTGACTGGCTACCAGAAGCAGGGATTCTCAACAAGTAACAGTCATGGGAGTGACAATTGCCATCAGATTGTCTCTTATTCCAGCACCCAGAAGAGGCAGCAATTAGGCAGAGAAATAGAAGTAGGAGGCTAGAGGAGGAGGAGGAGGAGGAGGGGGAGGGGGTAAGGAAGGGGTATGCAGAGTTGGCCAAATAGAGAGAAGCTCCGTTTCTAACTGTAACAGACTGGTTCAGTGGATCCCAGTGGAGCTTAGTAATGATGGAATAAAAAAGTACAATAACATTTCCTTCTGCCTTAGTACTGAATTAAAATAATGTATCACATTATTTAGTGAGCTTCCCCCACCCCCCAATATAGGAAACTATTTTAAAAGTCTATAGGAATTACGGAATTCAGTCATAAGAGGATTCAGCAGACAACATTCAACCTAAACCTGCAAAAGAAGAAAAATTCCTCTACCACACATCTGACAAGTGATTATGCAGACTTTGCATGAAGATCTCTAATGATAGGGAACCCCACCACATCCTGAAGAAGGAGCCCCTTCCATTCTGGATAGCTCTGCTAATACAGAAGAATGAACATTGGGTTTAAAGTCAAGGACCCAGGTTCAAATCCAGAGACTTGCTACTTACTACTTCTGTGACCTTGGACAAATCAATTAACTCTCCTGAGCTTCAGTTTCCTCATCTAATTAGATTAGATGACCTCAGAGATCCCTTCATGCACTAAATCTGTTACTTGATAACAGTAAATTTGCCTCATGCCAACTTCATAGAATCATAGATGCAGGACCTCAAAGACCATTTTGTATTCCTCTCACTTTTATAGCTAAGAAAACTGAGGCCCAAGGAATTTAAGTGATTTGCACAAGGTCATACAGGCAGCCTCTTGTTGCTACTGGTTCTGTCCTCTGTGATCAAACTGAGTTTACTGTCTAATCTCTCATCCCGATCATATCCTTAATAATCACATAGTATTCTTAGAGTTCTCATAGTGACTAACACACCCACACCCCCCCCAGATTTTTTGCTAAATGAATGAAATAAATATGGATTGACTTAGATTCTTATAATCTAGCCACTGCTCAAATTCCTAAAATCTAGTCACTGCTCTGATTCTTAGAATCTAGCCAATACCTCACAGACTCTCAGATTCCTCAAGAGTCTGCCCAATATGATGGATGTTCTAATAAACCTTGTCTTTGGCTGAAAGAAGGTTTGGGTCGAATTCTTTCAGTCAGGACCCGTGTGTCATGATCTCGGGGTCCAAGCACCCCTAAACCTCTAGACTTCATCATATGGTTCCCTGCACCTGGAAAAACTGCCAAGCTCTTCACCAGCCGTGACTAAAAGACTACAGGCCATTCACCTACAGTTGGTAGCAAACAGCAGGTACCAGCCAATGTCTCCCCATCATTCCCTGGATGCAGCCTGTGCTCAATTCCACTCAACCTCCTCTTTGGGACCCCCTCGAGGAAGGAACAGCTCTACACTCTTTGCCAGTAGAAAGAAGTTTCAGAAGCTGAGCTTTGCCCCTTACCCCAAAAGAATTTGGGTTCCATTTGTTTGTGGGGGGAATGTTGAGGATGGGATCTGGACCCCAGAAAGGAAAAACCCTGGACTTTCCCACATGGCCAAATCTCTGGCTTTCACCTGAGGCTATAATCCCATCAACTGGTCTATCGTTGTGGCTATACCCAAGCTCCCAATTCTGTTACCCTTAACCTAGCCTGGCCTTCCTTTGTCTTGCCTCTCTATGCCCCATCCCTCCCCTTCACCATTTCCCACCCTTAATCTTAGCTAGGCTCTATTTTCCCTTGGCCACAAGGTCCAGGTCCCAGGAGTTCTGTTCACCCCAGCTTACTGGCCACTCCTAGGTGCCTCCCACAGTCTTTCTGTATGTAAGGTCCAATTTTTCTCCATTAAGATGCTTAGATTCAGGGGCAGCTAGGTGGTGCAGTGGATAGAGCACCAGCCTTGAAGTCAGGAGGACCTGAGTTCAAATCCAGCCTCAGACCAAATATTTGACACTTACTAGCTGTGTGACCCTGGGCAAGTCACTTAACCCCAATTGCCTAAAAGTAAAAAAAAAAATGCTTAGATTCTTATAATCTAGCCACTGCTCAAATTCTTAAAATCTAGCCACTGCTCTGATTCTTAGAATCTAGCCAATACCTCACAGACTCTCAGACTCTTCAAGAGTCTGACTAATATGGGAGATCTTTAATAAACCTTATTTTGGGCTGAAAAAAAAAAGAAATATGGATTACCATACCTATGTTATAAATTGGTAGGAATATAAAAGAGCTTCATCTTTCAAAGCTCCCCATGTATTCATTGTTTCACTTATAGCCCTGCTTTCAGAGGCTCAGATTCCCAGAATGCACAGCACCAGCTGTTTGGGAGAAAACTCCAGAGGCTTTGTATATGTGTATGGGCCTGTAATTGGTTAGCAAAGATTTCTAGGGAGAAGAAATAAGATAGAGAAGAGGGAGGCATGGAGCTCAAACAGAGGGCAGATCTTTACGCTGAGAAGCGGCCATGTGGGTTACATCTGGAGAGCCAGTGACTGCATCCAAAGGAACCATGAGAACCAGTGACTGCAGAGATGCTGCTGGTGGTGTGGACCTGTTATCTAAAACCTTAGCCATTTGGGTGTGACAGCCCCTGACTAACACAATCTTCCTCACCCCCACCCCCACCCCTTCCTGCCCAATTGCCATGCCAAGGCAAAAGTAGGAATTGTCTATTCTATCTGGTACCAGAGCAGGAGATGCCTCCTGCTCCCAGCAGTCAGAAACCCTCTGGCTCAAGGATTTCCAAGTCTGTGTACATCAGTTTCCTTTTCCTCCCAGGAAGAAGAATTGTTTTGGTTGCTCTCTCTCTCTCTCTCTCTCTCTCTCCCTCTCGCCCTCTTTCTCTCTCCCCCCCTCCCTGTTGCTCTCATTAGATAGATTGAAAGAAAGAGATACGCATATAAAATTGGTTTAACATTTTTTTTATAAAGGCTTTTAAGGAGGCAGTTAATACTTGTATCTTTTTACAAGTAGAAAAACTGAGTCATTGACCTCATTTTCCTTAGGTCATGTAAACAAGTCACCGTCAGTGCCATGAATAGAACTATCATTGTTTTTGAACTTGCCAGTGCCATGTATACAGCTAGGTCACCCTTATAAAAATATATTAGGGTATTTAGGTTTACTTCTGCAAGTGTATGTCTGCCTTATCTCCTCTGTGAATCCTGGGGAAATGCATTTTCGATTAGAGGTAATCTTCATTTCAAGTCTGGCTTATGTTTCAGTTTAAATTGGGTCTCTGAGATGAATTGGGACCTGCATAGGAGTCGGAAGGGTTACAGTTTGCTGTAACTTCATCTGTTCTTTGTTTCTAGAACTGCTATTCTCCGATGCTAACTGGGCTGACAGTGACACCCCACCTCCTCTACCACCGCATCCCAGTCTGGAATTGGATCTTGAAGATTATAACCATAGGTATGGCTAAAAGAGGGTTTTTTACATGTGATCCTCTTGTTTCTCTAAAAAAAAATAAGCAACTTCATTTTAACTGCCCTTTTTACAGGTAATTTCGTACCAATGCCTGTCTATCACTTTCATCCTGATGAAGGTTTCAAATTGTCAGACAATTTGTGTTCAGATACCCTAATTTTAATGACATGATAGTTAAGCATAAGATTGTGAGTGTTCAGCTTGTACTTTCTAAGATATTCAAGAGCATGGCTACATTTCCATTTATGCTTTAAGTTTTAAAGATGTAGCAGAAATAATATAATATAATAGAAACTAAAAAATAGAATATTTTTTATAAAGAATAATAGAAACTAAAAAATATTTATAAAGAAACTATAATAGAAACTAAATATAATAGAAACTAAAAAAATCAATAATTTTTAGAATCACAAGAGTCTAAGAGAGATTTACTAAGCATAAACCCTATTTGCATAGTTGAATTCATAGATTTTTTTCCTTCTGATGAGTTTAAAAAAATCGTTAAATTGTCCCATTGCTATTTTCTGTATTTATTATAGCTATTAAAAACTGCATATTTCATAGCATACAATGTCCCAAGATAACCTTATAAAGTATCTTCAATTTTCTAATCTCAGCAATGCTATTGTCATTTCTGTTATGTTTTTTCCTTAATGTAAGATTCCAAAAAGACAGCAACCAAAGCAGTATTCTACAAGTTAACCAGATCAGATAGTGGTTTTTCTACATTTGTTTCTTTGCCCTTCTTTGTAGCTTACCCTTTTCAAAATGTATTCATATTCCACAATCATAGTTTCAGGAACTAAATTTGCCATCACCATTAAGCTGTAGTAAACCTTAAAACATTATGTAACCATGAATAGTCATTATTACTGTTGCTCTCTTGCTATCATCTTAGAACTAATGTGACCCAAGTTAAAGTCATTATCATTCCACTTCAAAATGATTTCCCCTCCAGCTTCTTCCTTTCTGTAAAGGATACCACCATTCTGCCACTCACCCAAACCAAACAATTTGGAACTGTCTTTTGCTTATTCCTCTGAGAACTCATCTTTGGTGGTGCCTGCATGAGAAAGTACTTTCCCTAGATGTTATACATATTATACTCTAGGGGGTGTCTCACCCTCTGTCTTCAATAGGACCTACAGACTAGTCTTATAGACAATTTTATCTCAAGCAGCTTCCCCCTCTTAAGTTCTAATCTAACTGATGGCCTAGCTCCATCTGTGAACCATAGGGACAAATATCTTCTCCAAAACCATTGAGATATAAACCAGGGAGATAATACTCCATCCCCAAAGACTAAAACCTAAGGTACAATTGAGCAGTTGCCTCAGGGACCATGCTGAGTCACTCAGCTGAAACAAAATGTTGCCTGATTAGGGTCATTGTGGCCCATGGCCACTACTGCTCCCTTTCTTCACAAACATGCTGGCTCAGAGCAAGTCTTATATGCTTGCTATGTGAAAGGAAGAGACATTGCTGAATGTCAATGGAAAGGTATCTATCCCAAATGGCTGTAGTTCTATTTTCTTTATCAAATACTTTTACCATGATATCTGAGGACTTTACAGTTGATTTTTTTCCTTCAAAATGCTGCTATGCTCAGCTCTATTTCTTTCTCTCAAAGTTAGACCAGGCCCTTAGACCTAGATCAAAGAAGGATTAGTATTGATGATTGCAATGGATAGAATGATGATAATTGGTGCCTGTACATAGAATCATTCAACTCTTATATTGCATCTCTTTTACTTACCAATGAGTCTTCAGACTGGGAAATATAGGGGAAAATGATCAACAGGGGTTTGAAACCTTGAATAAGTGAGACTCTCTTAAATGGAAGAAAGCATCAAGTTGGTCTTAATGAGCTCAAGTCATCACTTACACTACTGCAGAGCCACCTGTTGCTCTTGGAGACTGATGAGTACAGAACATGGTATCATAGCAAAGAGGCAAGGAAAAAATAGACTGATCAGCAAAGAGTCAGGAAGAGGCAAAAAGTAGCAATTTAAATTTCTTCAAAAGCCACTCTCGTTGCTAATAGCTAAGAAACTTGCTAATTATAAAGCAAATTACCTAAGCAAGAAGTGCCAGATAACTTGGAAAAGGTGGACAAGTTTGAGAGAAATGTAGGAAAGAGCATTATTTTAAAGAAGCTCATTCCGACCTGTTGACAGAATCCCTGGCACAACAAATTGCCTGTTTACTTTGAGAGTCTCAGAGAACTGATGATCTTGGTGTCAGCAAGTATGGAAGGCAAAGGGGATGAATGTTCAGGTGACTTGAAGAGATTTATGTTCATTACAGAGCCATGTTACAGCTAGGTGTGTGCAAATGCAGATTGGTCTCCCTTTTAGAGAGAAATGGAGGGTTCTCCCTCTAGTCTCCAGCTCATCTACAAGAATGAAGTGTGTCCTGAAAGAAGAGAAGAAATGTTTTAAGAGGAAAACAGAGTGCCAAAAGGGAATGTAAAGGTCCCATTGAAAGCTACTAAAAGGCTCATTTGCCTTTGGCACTGTGGAATTAGAGTGGGCCTATGCACTTTGAGGAAGAAGGTCCCCATAATAAGGATCCCCAGATTCTGCCAGGACAAAAGGCATCTAGAATAGGACCTAAGAAAATAAGAATTCCCTTCCCAGGGGGACCAAAGGGCTCCTGTGTTTTCCTGACATGGACAATCAGGTCCGCTGCCTTCTGATACTGGGCAAACCTGCTGACCAATTCTCTTGCCTAGTGATAGGAAGATAAATGGTATCACTAAAAGGACCCTAGAAAACGTAGCTTGAGGGAAGGGATTTCCAGCAGAAAACAGCAAGCTTTCCTCACTGTTGCCACCTCTAGCTAGCAAAGAGCTTCTGAATAAAAATGAGGATATAGGAAATAAACAGTTTAACAAGATGGTTCCAGAGAAGGGGATTTGGATTTCTGGAGCAAGACTTCAAACACAGGGACGATGAGTTCCTGAGGCAGTATGGACTGTATCTAATGATGGCCAGGAAACATACACACACATACACACACACACACACACATACACACACACATGCACACACATACACATACACACACATACACACACACACACAAACACACACGTGCCTGGAGGTGCTTAGGATATAATGAAGAGGACTTTAAATTGAAAATGGAGAGAGAGAGAGAAAACTGTCCACATATGTCGACTAAGCCGGATGCTGGTGGTGGTAGCAGGTCTAATAAGAGGGAGATTTGCAGCAGTAGGGCAGTAATAAAACTCATGGCCTGAGGTGTCTATATGCATATGCACATAGTACAAGTAAAAAGCAAAGTGACTGGAGGTCTTTTTTTTTTTGTTAGGCAATGGGGTTAAGTGACTTGCCCAGGGTCACACAGCTAGGCTAGTAAGTGTTATGTGTCTGAGGCCGGATTTGAACTCAGGTCCTCCTGAATCCAGGGTCGGTGCTCTATCCACTGCACCACCTAGCTGCCCCTGCCTGGAGGTCTTAATGCAAGGAATAAATTCAACCTGTTAGACAGCTCTGAGATTTGAGAGGATGTTACCTAACTAAAATACAAAAGTGGAAGGAATAAAGCAGCATGTAAATCAAGATGATATAACTGTGGAAATTCATGAACAAGAACTACAATCTGTCTTGGTGAAACAACAATGATAATAGCCAACATTTTTGTAGCTTTTTATGGTTTGCATAATACTTTACAAATATTATCTCATTTTATCCTCACAACCTACTCTGAGAGGTAGTTACTATTATTATCCCCATTATACATATGAGGAAACTGAGACAGACAGAGGTTAAATGAACTCCCCAAGGTGACACAACTAGTCAATAACTGAGGCAGGATTTTAACCCAGGACTTCTTGACACCAGGTCCAGTACTCTATCCACTGCAGTGACTGTCTCTCTGACGAAGACAAAAGAAACAATATTGTGGTGGGAATCCAAAACAAAAGGAAGAAACAGATGATGAGTTCTACAAGATAGCAAAACTTTCATGGAAATAGAATATGGTTGAATTGAACAATTTGGACAGCTACCAGAACTCTCTACCTGCTAAAAGCATAGCAGCTGACAAATGTTTAGCTTGCCGTAATTTCATTTCATTCTTCAGAAGATGAAGAGATCAACAAGGAAGATTCGTATTCTGAACCTGATGCTGAGCAATAAGGAAATATCTGTTATCAGAGTAGAAATGATAGGAACCATGGGATGCACTTATCACCATTCTCTCTTAGTATCCATAAGAGATCAGGAAGGGCAACACTGGAGTACTGAGTACAGTTTGATGTCAATCATATATTTTGGAAGAGATTTCAGAGTTTAGAGAAAAGATAGAAAATATCTCATGGCCTACAATTCTATAGGAGGAAATTGACTTTATTAAAAAGAAAAGCGTCTAGGATATACTCAAGAATAAAATTATATTGGTAAGAAAAAGGAGATTGACTAAAGAGACCAGTGTGGGTGGACAGGGAACTGGTTTTTAAGAGAAATGTACAAGGCAAATGAATATTTCTAAACAGGAAAAGCTGATACTTCCAGCAAATGCTAAGAGTGACAAGCAGGATTTTTGTAATTGTGTTGGGTCAAGAGGAAAATCAAAGGAGCATTAGGATTGATGATTGCAGTAGATGCAGGGATAACAATTAATGGCTGGAAGTAGGACTATTCAATTCCTATCTGGTAGCATGTTTACCTACCAATGAGAATATTCCTCAGACTGGGAAATGTAGGGGGAAAAAATTAAAAGGAGATCAAAACCTTAAACAAATGAGGTAGTAGTAAGAGAGCATCTAGTTGGTCTTAGTTCAAGTACATGAATCCATGATGACTTATATTCTGGAGTACTAAAAGAACCCATAGATGCAAATGGTGGGCCATTGTTGATGACCTTTGAAAAATTATAGTGAATAGAAGATGTGCTGGAAGATTGGAAATGGAAAAAAATTTATACTGGCTTTCAAAAAACAAAAGAAGGTGTACCCTTTA